CATTGTTGGTTTCTGTGATTTGTGTGTTTCCAAGTTTCAAGGAGTTTTCCCCCAATTCGATTTTAACCTAAATATGAATGATTTCAAAAAAATTTGATTTGTTGTATAAAAAAATCAAATTCCGAACGTGTTGAGCCTTGCTCCGGTGATGTTTATGACGGTGGATATTCCGAATCCGTCGAGGGAGAACCCGGAGGCGGTGATGTTTGATTCCGGTTTACATGTGAGCCAATTCATTATGAAATTAGAGTCGAATTAAATAAAATGTGAATCGAGTTTACTTGAGAGAAGATCATATATACATCATAACTTCTTAGTATTCAAAGAAAAAACTGAGTTGGTAGTAGATTCAAATCCGATTGACACGCATACTATTCATACGATAGATAGTTTTTGAATACAAGTGGATTATTGGACGATTACATAAGGATTAAACCTCTTAGTTATTATATAAAAAAAAAACATACGATACATAGTTTTGATGTGATAATATCAAACGTTACGTACCTAAAGTTTTCCGGCAAGCATATATGCCTTGTAAGAAACATCCTTGACTTGATTTTGATCACCCCAAGCTTCTTTAAACTCATTAATAATAGGAGGAGTTAAAAGCTCTACTCCTTGTTCCTTAGCCTTCACTAGAGGCTGCCAAGATTTAAAAAAACCTAAATACCCATCAAGAGAAAGCTTGTGTGGAATATGAAGAGCTTTAGGTCTTCCTTGAGTCCCCAATCTTATATCTTTAAATGGAAACTCTAATTTTTTATAACCATCAAACGCTAAATTCATTGTCTCCGTTCGGTACGGTATTGTTGAATCCACAAGACGTTTCATGATGGAATCAACCTTTGGTGTGACCATGAGATCGTTGTAGACCCAAGCCGCGATTACACCGCCTTGTTTTCGAAGAACGCGTTTGGCTATGTGATAGAATCTTTTAAGGTCGAAGTAATGGAGAGATTGAGCAACTACAATGAGATCTATGGAGTTTTCTCCACCAAGTTTAGCCACTAGATCGTCGTCGGACATTGATGATGGAGTGTGAATGTATGTGACTTTTGGGTGTGGCTTTGCAAGGTCGATCTGTTTTTCATTTATGTCAGTTGCCACCACTTTTTGGTAGTATTTAGCCACCTATTTACACATATACAATTTAGACCATTAGTTTATTTCGGCACATAAGATATATAAGATACACCGATATTTATAAAACATACACCGATTGCAGCCTGGCCGTTGCCGGTTCCTACATCCCAAGCCACCTTATGGTCGGTGGTTCGACCAGCCAACACTCTGTACCATTCTGTTGGATATTTCGGCCTTGCGTTCAAGTACTCTTTAGCTTGCATTTCGGTCAAAGCAGCCATTTGAGCCA